CTCCATGTATAATACATAAGAGGGATATGATCTCCCATAATAAAACATAAGGGGGATATGATCTCCATGTATTTACATAAGGGGGGATATGATCTCCATGTATAATAATACATAAGGGGGGATATGATCTCCATTTATAATACATAAGGGGGATATGATCTCCATGTATAAAACATAAGGGGGGTTATATGATCTCCATGTATAATACATAAGGGGGATATGATCTCCATGTATAATACATAAGGGGGGATATGATCTCCATTAATAATACATAAGGGGGGATATGATCTTCATGTATAATACAAAAGGGGGGATATGATCTCCATGTATAATAATATAAGGGGGGATATGATCTCCATGTATAATACATAAGGGGGGATATGATGTCCCATGTATAAAACATAAGGGGATATGATCTCCATGTATAATACATAAGGGGGGATATGATATCCATGTATAATACATAAGGGGGATATGATCTCCATGTATATACATAAGGGGGGGATATGATCTCCATGTATAATACATAAGGGGGGATATGATCTCCATGTATAATACATTAAGGGGGGGATATGATCTCCATGTATAATACATAAGGGGGGATATGATCTCCATGTATAATACATAAGGGGGATATGATCTCCTCCATGTATAATACATAAGGGGGGATATGATCTCCATGTATAATACATAAGGGGGATATGATCTCCATGTATAATACATAAGGGGGGATATGATCTCCATGTATAATACATAAGGGGGGATATAATCTCATAAAAACAAAATGTATAATACATAAGGGGGGATATGATCTCCATGTATAATACATAAGGGGGGGATATGATCTCCATGTATAATACATAAGGGGGATATGATCTCCATGTATAATACATAGGGGGGATATGATCTCCATGTATAATACATAAGGGGGATATGATCTCCATGTATAATACATAAGGGGGATATGATCTCCATGTATAATACATAAGGGGGGATATGATCTTCCATGTATAATACATAAGGGGGGATATGATCTCCATGTATAATACATAAGGGGGGATATGATCTCCATGTATAATACATAGGGGGGATATGATCTCCATGTATAATACATAAGGGGGGATATGATCTCTGTGATATAATACATAAGGGGGATATATCTCCATGTATAATACATAAGGGGGGGATATGATCTCCATGTATAATACATAAGGGGGATATGATATCATGTATAATACATAAGGGGGATATGATCTCCATGTATAAATACATAAGGGGGGATATGATCTCCATGTATAATACATAAGGGGGATATGATCTCCATGTATAAAACATAAAGGGGGGATATGATCTCCATGTATAATACATAAGGGGGGATATGATCTTCATGTATAATACATAAGGGGGGATATGATCTCCATGTATAATACATAAGGGGGGATATGATCTCCATGTATAATACATAAGGGGGGATATGATCTCCATGTATAATACATAAGGGGGGATATGATCTCCATGTATAATACATAAGGGGGGATATGATCTCCATGTATAATACATAAGGGGGGATATGATCTCCATGTATAATACATAAGGGGGGATATGATCTCCATGTATAATACATAAGGGGGGATATGATCTCCATGTATACATAAGGGGGGGGATACATGTAACATAAGGGGGGATATGATCTCCATGTATAATACATAATAAGGGGGATATGATCTCCATGTATAATACATAAGGGGGGATATGATCTCCATGTATAATACATAAGGGGGGATATGATCACCATGTATAATACATAAGGGGGGGATATGATCTCCATGTAATAATACATAAGGGGGGGATATGATCTCCATGTATAATACATAAGGGGGGATATGATCTCCATGTATAATACATAGGGGGGATATATATCTCCATGTATAATACATAAGGGGGATATGATCTCCATGTATAATACATAAGGGGGGATATGATCACCATGTATAATACATAAGGGGGGATATGATCACCATGTATATAATACATAAGGGGGATTATGATCTCCATGTATAATATATAAGGTGGATATGATCTCCATGTATAATACATAAGGGGGGATATGATCTCCATGTATAATACATAAGGGGGGATATGATCTCCATGTATAAATACATCAGTGGTTCATATAGTGAACTCGGTGTAGTTATTCCCCCTGAGGTCATCACAGAGGACAAGGGCGCTCTTTACGTCTGGAGGAAAAGAAATTTCATCTCCAAACACGGAAAGGTTTCTTCACAGTAAGAGCTGTGAAAATGTGGAATAGACTCCCTCAAGAGTTCTGGCAGCTCAGTGGATTGCTGTAGGAAAGTCCTGGATTCTTCTTGGATACACAGAATATAACTGGATATAACATTTATAGGTAAAGTTAATCAGGGAATATCCAATTGCCTCTCGGGGGATCAGGACGTTTGCCTTTTTTCAGCCAGACTAACTATGTAACTGTGTACCTGCCCCCTGAGCACTCATCTAAAAACAGAGATGAAGCTGCTCAGGACTGTACCCAGCCAAAATAAAATGGCATGTTGCATTTGCAGGTGAAAGCATCAAGTCGTGGTGCCTGCAAACCCTTTAAGTGAATGGGGACACCTAACCACTCTGCAACCATGTGCAATGCACAAGGCTGTGGCATGGTGGGTCAGCATTTAAGGGTTAAAGCAGGCAGTGAGGATAATATCTGCCACCACCACCTATCAGATACCCTCTGAGAAGTGATCCACTACAGGTCTCTTTTCAGAGGGACAGCAACATAGTCACAGGTTTGAACAAGCTCTTAGTCAAATTCAGGTACTTTCACTGCTTGGAATAAAAAAGAATGAAAAGAATGAAGGTTGAATGAGGGAGTAGGAAGAGCTGAGCTGCAGACTGAGCTGCAGACTCCCCTGCTTGGAGAGTGGAGGAGAGTGGAGCTGAGCTGACTCCCTGCTTGAGTGGAGGAGTAGGGAGAGCTGAGCTGCAGACTCCCTGCTTGGAGTGGTGGAGTAGGGAAGAGCTGAGCTGTAGACTCCCTGCTTGGAGTGGGGAGTAGGGAGAGCTAAGCTGCAGACTCCCTGCTTGGAGTGGAGGAGTAGGAAGAGCTGAGCTGTAGACTCCCTGCTTGGAGTGAGGAGTAGGGAGAGCTGAGCTGCTGAGTCACTACTGGTAGGTGGAGCAGGATGAGTGTCACCTGTTTTGCTCATACTTTCAAGTATTTTGCAGATGACATCTGTTATCTTTTACGGTTGCAAAATACATCTTGCTGCACTTCAACTGCAACGTTTCACCTGATTTTACAACATGAAGTCTGCAGATGTTGAATATCCAACACCAAGTTTCCTCACTGAGAAGTAGCAAAGTTAGGAGAAAAAAGTTGCAACATTTCTTTCTCATCAGGCTGTGTGTTCTCACATTGTACCCGTCCCCAGACTCACCGCAGGGTCCTCTTTGATTGCACCCCTCAGCAGGGGCATGTTGGTGAGATCATCTGCGGTGGGTATTCGAGGTATTTGTTGTTTTTATATCAAAATCTCACCTGAATGGATCATCAAAAAAACAGTCTACATTCTGTTACAAAAGCCAAAATATTCCTATACCTGGTGGAGAGGGTCATCTGTTACAGGGAAATTTTACTCTTTTTGTTTTCCTCAGCTATACAGGCAATTCCTGTGATTGGGATTTAAAGTATCTCCTGTGCTTCTTTGCTGTAAAATTTCTATTGTTTACTGAACTCAGTAGCTCAACCTGACACAAGTTACATCAGTCAATGCAAAGACTAATCTCCTCCCTCACTACAGCTTCTTTCAGGTTGCATTCAGATTCACTGTGCCTGAAAGAAGATATATACCACTGTGCTGTCTCTTTAGCTACCCCTTGGTGCTAAGGAAATCCTTTGTCACTCATTAAAACAAATGTAGCCCTGCCAGCAGCACCTGTGCTTTGGTGGCCGCATGTCTCTGGCTTTGCAACATCTACACACTGCTGCAGCTGTCATCCCACTCTTCTCTGCTGCCATCATACAGATCAACCATGAGGGGGGAGAGCCAGAGAGCCTATGGAAGAAAATGCTGCCCACTGCTGGAGAAGGAGCAGGGGATCCCGAAAGAACAGCGTCTCCTTCAGGGGTGAGAGCTACACTAAGATTGTTAAAATACGTTTGAACTAAAAAATAAATAAGTGACCCCAAACCATTATTCTTCTTTATATCATTTACATAAAATGTGACTCCATGTATAGTTTGCAAATATATTGCTACTGCTTTGATGTCTGTTGTCTAAAGCCCGGTACACACATTTATGCCCCCTACACACTATAAGAAAATCGTCCGAGGACCGATCGTCCAATCATTGGATCGTTAGTACACAGCTTTTGAGCACGACGATTCGTATGACAATATCCAAAAGGGACAAGTGCAAAAATATTTCTTGTGCGATACCAGATCGTCCGATTTTCGTTTAATCAGTACAGTAGACGTCTGAAAATACAATACATATACAACGCAATTCATGACATCACTTTCAAAATTCTTTTCTTTCATAGGAGAATCTTCGTATCTTTAGTAACCTTTTCACTTTCGAGGTGAGACTAGCAGGCGAAAAAAAAAAACGGCCGATCGTTCGTCTGATATTCTCATCTTGTGTACGGGGCATTCATTTTTTTCTTTGTTCAACCCATAGTGATGTTAGTACAATGATCTCTCCTGCTGTGCCTTTGTGTTCTGACATGGGGACTCTCCTGGACAGAACACACTAACCAGTGCTCGCAGCCATTGGCTGCCAGTGCTGATCAGATGCTGGTTTTCCAGCAAAGGTCGCTCCTTTTGCCCCGTACACACGATGAGAATATCGGACGAACGATCGGCCGTTTTTTTTTGTGTGTCTTTCGCGATGTGTTTTTGTGCTTTGTGTTTTTATTTTTGAATGAGCCCTACATTGCAGAAGATTTAAATAAAATAAAACAAATACACATTGATTACGTACGGTGTCCACACCGGCCAGCAGCAGCTCGCACACACTGCCGTACACCTCGGTCATGGTCAGCTTTCCGCTGGACAACAGATAGGTCAGGTACTCCCCCTGCACCTCCTCTCCCCTCTCCAGCCTTTCCTGGATCTCACTCATCTTCTTATCAATCAGCTTCTTCCCTGGAAACAACCAACCAGAGAGTCAGGAGAGCACCGCCCGGCTTTTCTTTGATGTCACAATAATGAATTCCAGAAAGATTGCATTCATTCAGTTAGTTGATGGAACAATGGGCTCCCTGTAGGGTAAGCTACACTGGAGTTGGTTGTTGTTGCTGCAGTGTTACTGTGCACAATTCATACATACAGAAGAACAGATACTGAGAATTACACCGGCATACAAGAGAAGTGGTACTGTGCTGGGTCCATACATACCAAAGAAGAACAGATACTGAGAATTACACCTGGCATACAGAACAAGAGAAGTGGTACTGTGCTGGGTCCATACATACCGAAGAAGAACAGATACTGAGAATTACACCTGGCATACAATACAAGAGAAGTGGTACTGTGCTGGGTCCATACATACCGAAGAACAGATACTGAGAATTACACCCAGCATACAATACAAGAGAAGTGGTACTGTGCTGGGTCCATACATACCAAAGAAGAACAGATACTGAGAATTACACCCGGCATACAGGACAAGAGAAGTGGTACTGTGCTGGGTCTATACATACCGAAGAAGAACAGATACTAAGAATTACACCCAGCATACAATACAAGAGAAGTGGTACTGTGCTGGGTCCATACATACAGAAGAAGAACAGATACTGAGAATTACACCCAGCATACAATACAATATAAGTAGTACTTTGCTTGGTCCATACATACAGAAGAACAACAGATACTGAGAATTACACCCGGCATACAATACAAGAGAAGTGGTACTGTGCTGGGTCCATACATACAGAACAAGATCTGATACTGAGAACTATAACCAGCAAAGTGGGAATGAATGAAGGGAGAATTACACATGCAGGGGGATGGGGTGAGAGGGGCAAGAGCGGGGGGGACTCCCGGGATTTTAGGGTGATTTGGCATGACTGCACTTACCAAAAGCAAAGATTCTGTCCCAGCCATCTAAGTAATTTTTCCAGTAGGGTAGGATTCCTCTGGTCCATACAGGTAGGTACTGGGCATAGGTGGAATTCCTCAGCATCTCAGCGATTGAATTGATAAACTTCTGTGTCTCTGGGGGGATCTGTTTATTCAGACAGCCAGTCCGAGTCTCAAACACGATAAAGGAGACCCCTAGAAGAGATCATGTTACATAATCATACATGTTACAATCTGACTGTATGGTCTCTGCATTCATTTCCCTTATTAACATATTAATGGCATGTTAAATAAAACCTGTTTTTTTACATTATTTGAGACCCAGTGATGCAATGACTGGGTCTTTATGCCTCTTTCTGCAATTCAGGCAGATCATGGCTGGTGAGAGGGGCCATACGTTTCTTCCTGAAAACACCAGACTGCACTATGTGCTGCCCACATGTGATGATGAGCCTTCATGATAGAAACTGAAATCCAATGAATGAAAGGGACATAATATGGGCAGGCTGGGGAGGAAAGGGCTAGATGATGGGGGGGATGTCCTCCAGCATTATCTAGACAAAACTGACAGTAGAAGGTCTTGTTGCCACTTGCTTCAAAATGTAGCACTGGATACTCATTTTTAAAGCGCTCTGAATGCCGATCAAAGCAACTGTCACTAAATAAAATGGTTACCTTATAGTCTTGTTTACACATTGTCTTTGCTTTGCTTTAACAATGATCCCGTTTCACCTTTTTGGTGCTTCATAAAGTCTCCAAGGCCACCATAGAAGTTTATGACAAAGCTTGCTAGCAGCACCTGCAGCTTCTAAAAGGCTTTTTAGCTTTCAGCTTTAGCTTTGCTTTGTATTTTTGGAGGTCATTTTTTGCAGGTATGAGATAGAGTGGGAGCAATATAGAGGAAGATGAGTGGGGACCATAGAGAGAAAGGAGGATCAGCAAACCAGAGGATCAGCAGAGCTGGGGATTACTACTGAGCAGGGGATCAGCAGAGCAGGGGGTTACTACTGAGCAGGCGATCAGCAGAGTTTGGGGTTACTACTGAACAGGGGATCATCAGAGCTGGGGGTTACTACTGAGCAGGGGATCAGCAAAGCTGGGGGTTACAACTGAGCAGGGAGATCAGCAGAGTTGAGCAGGGGGGGGTACTACTGAACAGGGGATCAGCAAGCTGGGGGTTACTACTGAGCAGGGGATCAGCAGAGCTGGGGATTACTACTGAGCAGAGGATCAGCAGAGCTGGGGGTTACTACTGAGTGGGTTACTATATAATCATGAGCTGGGGGTTACTACTGAGCAGGGGATCAACAAAGCTGGGGGTTACTACTGAGCAGGGGATCAGATCAGCAGAGCTGGGGGTTACTACTGAGCAGGGGATCAGCAGAGTTGGGGGGTTACTACTGAACAGCAGAGCTGGGGGACTCAGCAAAGCTGGGGGTTTACTATTGAGCAGGGGATCAGAGCTGGGGGCTACTGAGAGCTAGGGTTACAACTGAGCAGGGGATCAGCAAGCTGGGGGTTACTACTGAGTAGGGGATCAGCATGAGCTGGGGGTTACTACTGAGTAGGGGATCAACAAAGCTGGGGGTTACTACTGAGCAAAGGATCAGCAGAGCTGGGGATTACTACTGAGCAGGGGATCAGCAGAGCTGGGGGTTACTACTGAGCAGAGAATCAGCAGAGCTGGGGGTTACTACTGAGTCGAAAATCAGCAAAACTGGGGATACTACTGAGTGGGGCATCGGCAGAGCTGGGGGTACTACTGAGCAGGGGATCTGCTGAATGAGGATACTAATGAGCTGGGGATCTGCTGAGCGAGGGCTCTAATGAGCTGGGGATCTGCTGAATGACGATACTAATAAGCTGGGAATCTTTTGAACGAGGGTACCAATGAGCTGAGTATCCACTGAACAAGGGTACTAATGAACTGCGGATCTGCTGAGTGGGGGTACTACTGGGCTCCTTTAAAACAAAAATAAAATCAATACAAACACAGGACATTTGGAAAGCTTCATGAAAGCTTCAAAAAAGCATCACCAAAGCATCAAAAACACATAAAAAAGGCATGGTGAAGCAGTGGGCACTTTAATGTGTGCTGAAATCGTAGCGAGTGTAAACGAGCCCTTAAGACACACCTTCAAAAGCGAAGCGATAGAACTCATTCGCCAAGTCCTGGACTATGTTGCTGGTGGGACTCTCTTTGCTCAAGTACTGCAGTCTGACCATGAAATCCGAAACAATGTCGTTGATGCTCCCGGCGTAGCTCTTGGCTTCAGACGGCTTCAGCATCCTCTTGTTCAGGATGGTGCGCAGGGCGTGCCATTTGTGCCCTTCCCTAGATACAATGAGACTTGTAAATATTACGATTCTATGCTGTTATCCTTCCAAAAGCATTCCATTTGATTCTGATCCAATTATGAATTATGAAAGCCTTGTACAATCTGATTGCAGCATGTTTGGCCGGGTTAATAATGGATAGACACCTAAATCCACCACAAAATTTCCTGACTTGGGTAACACAGCAAGGAAAAAAGTAAAAACGATGATAAAGCTCCCAGGATCAGGTCCCTCCTATCCCTCTTGTATTGAACTGTGTTGTTGCTGTATTGTCCCCCCGTTATATTGTAAAGTGCTGAGCAAACTGTTGGCGCCATATAAATCCTGTATAATAATAATAATAATATAAATCCTGTATAATAATAATAATAATAATATATAAATCCTGTATAATAATAATAATAATATAAATCCTGTATAATAATAATAATAATAATATAAATCCTGTATAATAATAATAATATAAATCCTGTATAATAATATTAATAATATATAAATCCTGTATAATAATAATATATAAATCCTGTATAATAATAATAATTAATAATATAAATCCTGTATAATACAAATAATATAAATCCTGTATAATAATAATAATGATAATAATAATATAAATCCTGTATAATAATAATAATAATAATAATAATAATAATAATATAAATCCTGTATAATAATAATAATAATATAAATCCTGTATAATACACAAATATAATAAATCCTGTATAATAATAATGATAATAATAATAATATAAATCCTGTATAATAATAATATATAAATCCTGTATAATAATAATATATAAATCCTGTTATAATAATAATAATATAAATCCTGTATAATAATAATATATATAAAATCCTGTATAATACAAATAATATAAATCCTGTATAATAATAATATATAAATCCTGTATAATAATAATATAAATAAATCCTGTATAATAATAATAATATAAATCCTGTATAATAATAATAATAATATAAATCCTGTATAATACAAATAAATAAATCCTGTATAATAATAATAATAATTATTAATAATAATAATATAAATCCTGTATAATAATATATAAATCCTGTATAATAATAATAATATAAATCCTGTATAATAATAATAATAATATAAATCCTGTATAATACAAATAATATAAATCCTGTATAATAATAATAATAATAATATAAATCCTGTATAATAATAATAATAATAATAATAATAATATAAATCCTGTATAATAATAATAATAATAATATAAATCCTGTATAATAATAATGATAATATTGTAATACTTTGTTACTTTTGTAATGAGCCTGCCATTGTGGGGAGAATGCAGTTAGAATAAAATAGATGGGCGCTACATTTGTGTCAAAATGAATATACCAAATGAAAATGCAGTTTCTAAATCCCAAAATCCCTATATAAAGTATTTCAAACTTGGAACATGCCTCCTAGTGCATGGACCAAATGCTGTATAATTTTGGGAAGCCAAATTACAATTTTTTAGTCTCTGCCAGGCCAGTAACTATCAAACCACGCCCCCAAAACATATCATTTGGCCACGCCCCCAGTTTGCTGCTATCCAAGCTATTCTCCCTACAATGGTAAATATAATAGGTAGGCCCTACATTAAAAAAATATTAATATATTATAAGTGCATTTAGAAAAGGGAAATGTGTTACCAAAAATCCCTATACTGTATCTGGTGCCTCAAAATAGTTGCATGCCCCCTAGTGCAGTGGTCGGCAAGCCGCGCTCGCGAGCCACATGCGGCTCTTTACAAACTTTAATGCGGCTCTTCTGTGTGCCGGGGGTACCGCCGAGAAGAGGGGAGGGGAGCGGGCGCCCGGCACACAGAAGAGCCGCATTAAAGTCAGGACTCTGCAGCTGGTCAGGAATGTAGGCGGGGCAAGCCATTTGATGTTAGGCGGGGCAGCGTGACGAACTCCTAACCCTCCTCTCACATTATCCGCCCTGAAGAGGAAACGGCGCATTGGGAACATGGCTGAAGAGGAACGCGCGAGCAAAGGTAAGTGAATTAAACACAACCCCTTAGGGAAATGAATTACTATATGGGGATGAATTACTATAAGGGGGATGAATTACAAAATATGGGGGATGAATTAACTATGGGGGATGAATTACTATAGGCATGGGGGATGAATTACTATGGGGGGATGAATTACTAATATGGGGGATGAATTACTATATGGGGGATTAATTACTATGGGGGATGAATTACTATATGGGGGATGCAAATTACTATATGGGGGATGAAAAAACTATGGGGATCCAATTACTATATGGGGGATGAATTACTATATGGGGGATGAATTACTATGGGGGATGAATTACTATAGTGGGGGATAATTACTATGGGGAGAATTACTATATGGGGATGAATTACTAATGGGGGATGACTTACTAAGGGGGGTGAATAGGACTATATGGGGAGAATTACTATATGGGGGATGAATTACTATATGGGGGATGAATTTACTAAATATGAGGGATGAATTAACTATGGGCGGATGAATTAACTATATGGGGGATGAATTACTATATGGGGGATAATTTACTATGGGGGATGAATTACTATGGGGGATGAATTACTCCTATGGGGGATAAATTACTATATGGGGATGAATTACTATGGGGGACTATGAAATAAACTATATAGGAGATGAATTACTATATGGGGGATGAATTACTATATGGGGATGATTACTATGGGGGATGAATTACTATATGGGGGATGAATTACTATCATGGGGGATGAATTACTATGGGGGATGAATTACTATATGGGGATGAATTACTATATGGGGGATGAATTACTATGGGGGATGAATTACTATGGGGGGTGAATTACTATATGGGGGATGAATTACTAATGGGGGATGAATTACTACCGGGGGGATGAATTACTATATGGGGGATGAATTAACAGATATGAGGGATTAATTACTATGGGGGGGGGGGATGAATTACTATAGGGGTTGAATTACTATATGGGGGATGAATTACTATGGGGGATGAATTACTATGGGGGATGAATTACTATATGGGGGATTCAATTTATTACTATGGGGATGAATTACTATATGGGGGATGAATTACTATGGGGGATGAATTACTATATGGGGGGATGAATTACTATGGGGGATGAATTACTATATGGGGGATGAATTACTATATGGGGGATGAATTACTATGGGGATGAATTACTATATGGGGGATGAATTACTATGGGGGATGAATTACTATAAGGGGGGATGAATTACTATGGGGGATGAATTACTATATGGGGGATGTATTTTCAGTTTTAAAAATGTGGCTCTCAAAATAAATTTCAATCGTGGTTTTGGCGAGATTTGGCTCAGTTGAAAAAAAAGGTTGCCCACCCACTGCCCTAGTGCATGAACCCAACCTAGCAGATCCTATATAGATAATGATGTGATTATGGTTGATGTGAAGCTGCCCCTATTATGGTGGAAATTCCACTGGAACATGCAATTAGAATAAAATAGTTTATATATTATTATTATTATACAGGATTTATATGGAGCCAACAGTTTGCTTGAAAGCGCTTTACCAATAAAGGGAGACAATACAGAAACAATACAGTCCAATAACAAGAGGGTTAGGGGCAGGGCGGACTGACAACTCATAGGGGGCCCCCAGGCAATAGGAGATAATGGGGTCCCTGTGTCCTTGCCCAAACTCAAAAAATCCTATGAAACCAGGGGCATCTCATGGGGCCCCCTACTGACCCTTCCAAAATGGTCAGTCCGCCCCCTGGTTAGGAGGGCCCTGCTCCTTGGAGCTTACAATCTAAGATGGGCGCTACATTGTACCAAAATTAATATACCAAATGAAAATGCAGTTTGTGAAACCAAAAATCCCCATATAAAGTACCTCAAACTTGGAACATGCCTCCTAGTGCATGGACCAAATCTTGTAACTCCATACAATTGCAACCAATATTAACAATATATAATATATATAAGTGAATTTGGTGAAATTTGTCCTATATATGATGTGACAATCTTTGCAGCTTCTTATATCTGTTCCAAATCAAAACAGAAACCAGGTGTGACTGTATCATCACCACGTGCTCACAAATGTATTATGTGTATTGCTCACTCACCAGAATCTTTTGACCCCAGTTATGGTCAAATACGCCTTTGGTCTTATAGGGGACCACCCTCTCTCGGTATGTTCTCCATTTCTCCCATTTGGAAATTCGTTAATGATAGCCAAATGTAAAGGATCACAATATGCCTTCCAACATGAGGCTTTATAGATGCTTTAACCCCTCGCCTACCGGGCACTTATACCCCCTTCCTGTCCAGGCCAATTTTCAGCTTTCAGCGCTGTCACACTTTGAACGTCAATTGCGCGGTCATGCAGCACTGTACTCATATTACATTTTTATCATTTTTTTGAGACAGATAGAGCTTTCTTTTGGTGGTATTTAATCACCTCTGGGTTTTTTATTTTTTGCTAAACAAACCAAAAACAACTGAAAATTTTGAAAAAAAAAAAAATGTTTTTTCTTAGGGTTTGTTATAAAAGTTTGTAAATAAGTGATTTTTCTCCTTCACTGATGTGCACTAAAGAGGCTGCAATGATGGGCACTGATAGGTGGCACTGATGGGCACTGATAGGGGGGCATGCAACTATTTTGAGGCACCAGATATAGGGATTTTTGGTAACACATTTCCCTTTTCTAAATGCACTTATAATATATTTAATATTTTTTTAATGTAGGGCCTACCTATTATATTTACCATTGTAGGAGAGAATAGCTTGGATAGCAGAAAACTGGGGGTGTGGCCAAACTATATGTTTTGGGGGTGTGGTTTGATAGTTACTGGCCTGGCAGAGACTAAAAAAATTGTAATTTGTCTCCCCA